GTGTTTCATTAACAAAAAGTGTCCTGCATTTCATGATTGTCAAGAATTTTAGTGTGTATTTGTTCAGAGTATGACACTACTGCATTATTCTAGAAAATAAGACTTTCTTTCTCACTGCCCCGTTTACTAATTTTAGGTGTAGAACGAGTTTTGGTAGATTTTTTAACAGGCTCACTCATCTTGGAACCAATAGATATTTTAGAGCTTGGTTTATAAGTGACAGAGTTCTTAGGATAAACAACATTCTTATTTAGAGACTCAGTCTTTCTAGGATTGGCATTTCCTAAGTTTTCATTCATATTTTGCTCTAAATTATCAAGAATCTCAAATCTAGATCCTGGGTGAGTCTCTTTTTTCTTAGCCTGGTTCATAGAGGACCCAACAAGAGAAGAGGAACTTAATTTTTTCCTAAAAGGTTTCTTTACAAGCATCCAAGGACCAAACTGATCCTTTTCTTTATCAATTATGTTATCATTATCTAACATTATCATATCATTACCAGCTTTAGGACTACTAACTATGTGACCTTCACTTTCCCCTGAAAAGCTAGTTTTATTTCCTTCTACCTCTAAATTAGTCTTAGTAGATCTAAGGATTTCACTACATTACTCCTCTCTATGCCATACTTACCACAGTTAAAAGAAATGAGATGCAGCCCTTCATATTCTACTTTGAATTCTTGTCCTAGCAACATAAAAGCTGGAATCAGTTTCTTCTTTAAGTCTATCTTTATATAGATCCTAGCAAATTTACCCCTAGCTAATAAGGAGGTGTGGGTATCAATCTTTAGCATTGACCCCAAACAGTTCTTAACTTGCCACAAAAATTTGTTATTATAAAGCTTAAGAGGAAGATTATGAATTCTTACCCAAACTGCTATCTTTCTAAGGTTGTAGTCTTGAGGTTTAAAGAGGGGTCTCTATCTCTGTATTAGCAGATAGTGATCTAGAATCAACCAGGGCCTTTCAAAGAAGGCGTGTTTATAATCTTCCAAACTCTCAAATTTGGTAAGGAAAAAATCGCTATTCAAATCAAGAATTTTGATGGATCCATGCTTACCCCAAATATTACTTTTTTTTTTGTCAAAAAATTGAAATTAATTGATTTTCCTAACAATTTACTATAAGAGTAAATTTCCAAGTAGCACACCACTCCTCATAGTCTTCTAAAAGAATCTTTAAGTTGAGGTACAAATTTTGAATTATATTATTATTTTCAGTATCATCAACAACCTCAAAAATAATGTTCAAATCATCCAATACAATTTTAATAATTTCTTTATCATTTAAAACTAAATCCACCTTGCTTGACTCTAAAACCTTATCTTTATATGAAAAAGACTAGAAAAATAAGGTATAGAAAGCACCTGGTATGTTGCTGGATCAACAAAGTTCTCCTCTTCTTGCATGCATAAAATTAGCACCTCATGTAGGACTCCTTCATTCGTTTTGACCTTTTTGGTGCTTTAATCCATGAGATCCATCTCTTCTGTGGACCGCTTCTCAGCTTCATGTTTCTCCATGTCCTCCAAACCCACTGGATAGTAGATAGGGAGCCTCGATCCCCTCCTTGGAAAGATTCCACCTTCCTCCAGCATTCAAAAACCGTTCGCAATTGTCGTAGGAGTGCTAGAGCAAGAACCCTAGCAGCGCCTCCTTAGCCCTCTCTTTTCTTGAAAGGAAAAGTGTGGTTCTTGAAGCTTTTGCAAGAAACCCTAGCTATTAATATTGGTTTCATAATTTTAATAATTGTAAACTTAGTCAACTATATAAAAGAAATTATCAATTTTTAAAAAGAAACATTTTCAAAAAATATTTTATACCATTCCAAAAAGTGTTTTAAATATACTAAATATACTATTATTCTTATAGTGTTAGCCCTTAGAAGAATTAAGATAACTGGTAGTGACTTTTTCTCAATAAAATATAAATTGTTAGTACAAATATTTATATTGCAGTAATATTTATAATTGTTACATGATGTTTGTTCTCTCATTAACACACTAAGTGATGGAAAAAGTAAACTTGTCTTAACGACTTTAATTGTCACTAAGAATAATACAATTATTTGCTAACAATATATTATAATTATTGAAAAAAGTATACTAAATCAGATCACAACATTTTATTTTGTTGACATTAAAACAAAAATTTAACGGTTGTTGCAAAAATTATTATTATTATTATTATTATTATTATTATTATTATATATGTATAAAAGAATAACTTTATTAATTGTTGGTAAATAAATACATAAATATTGTTGCAACATTTATAAGCCATTTGTATAAGATTATTTATTCTTGTGATCTTGATTATCGCTTCAATTAGTATGATTATTTGCAAACAATATTAATTAATTGTTGGCAAAAATAAATTAAATCCTTATAATTTTTTATTTTGATAAGATAAAGATAATATATATATATATATAAATGACTTAAGTTCTTTGTTAAGAATGATAGACTAAATTAAGATTTATGTTAATAAATGTATTAATTTTTAGAATAAGCATGTGCATGTGTTAGTTTTTGTGGTAAGTGTATTAATTGAAAAATAATAAAAGATATTTTTAAATTGAGTTTTTAGAATATTTTTTTACAAAAAAAAATTTAATAATAAAAAAATATATCATAATTTTATTACTTGAACTAAGATAGTGTGTAATAAAATAAAAAAATTTGATGAAAGATTTAAATTAAAAAGAGTAATTAAAATAATAAAGAACACAATGTAACTTTTGACAAATTTTTATTTTTACACATTTTTATGTTCACTTTTATTTTAACCTCAATTTCAAATTTTTTTTAATTGTTAACCACTTATACTAAACCTATTAACACTTAATGATCATGTAATGTTAATATTTTTTTTTTCTGAGCTATCACCTATAATGATCATAAAAGATAAAAAGAAAAGAAAAGCATAAAAAACATATGAGCTTGTTAATTCAATAACCAATTGAAAAATAAAAACTATGAGTATGTTTGATTTTTATTTTTAAAACAAATTTCTATTTTTAAAAATTAATTATAATACAAATTTGTATTAGAATTAATTTTAAAAACAGGAAATTATTTTAAAAATAGAAATCAGACATACACTAAATTTAGTATACTTAATTTCTTATTCTGTTTTACCATATAGATTCATTAACTATATATGGTTTAGTCATTTATTATGTAATAAACTATTAAATATTAAGAGTGACTAATTTCTAACATAAAACATACACGTATTAGGATAAAAATCAGCCTTGAAATACTAATTTTGTCTTTGTAGATAAGCTTTTATTATCAAACATCAAAGAAAACCAAAATTTAATTCTAAACTTACTCTCAAGACTCCTCAAGTTCATGTAGTCAATATGAATGTCAATATTTTTCCTTTATTTTTTATGGTCAAATCTCTTCAAAACTATGTATTTATTGAAAAAGATTTCCCACTTGAAGTTGATCATAAATTTTCTCTCAAGAGTTCAAAAGAATACATAAAAAATGTCCTCTTTATTTTTTACATAAAATATTAAGTGAACACCTTGAAAGACTTCATATTTTGTTTCTTTTCTTCAATCTTGATCCTATTTTTGAAAAGAATAATTGATTCAACTCCTAATTCTTTGATATATAGTGTATCAATATATACTATTTTGTTCTTTTAGAGACCAATACTTAACATATTATTCCTTTTGAACTTTATTGTAATAGTTTTTTTTACTCAATAGAGTTAGACAATGTAATAAAAGGTGTTTAAAATAGAGAACTTCTAGAAAGAGAGATCTTTAAGATAAGTCTATTTTTATCATTCATAGACAAGTTAATCCTTAAATGGTCTTTTATGAAAAAAAAAATATCTATAGAAACCCGTGAATAGGTTAATCAACACTTGATGACTTAGTTGGCTAAATATTTAAAATAAATTTGTGAACATGTCATTCAAACTTTTCTTGTAATGCTACTTAGTTGATCAATTCTTGGATAAAAGAATATATTAATAAATTAATGTCAATTGTTGAAGATACAACTTTTTTAGACATCCTATATCCTTGTACTTACAATGATGGAAAAAAAACTAAAAAAAATAATAACTTATATGATCTTAATCTTTTTCTTGAGCATGAACCTATCATTCCTTAATTTTATTCAAAGAATTTAATAAAATTCATTTATTTGAATATTTGTTGATGTAGAGAAAAGAAAAAATTAATATGCAATGTGTCTTTTAGTTGTAAAAAGTTAGTGTCTATAATGATTTAGGTGCTCATAGTTAATGTGCTTTACTTGAAATTAGTATTTGTAATATTTAAATTTTTTTTAATTAGTATATTTTGTTTTGTAGGATCTTCTCCATCTCAACGAATAGAGAAGTTTGCTTTGTTTGAAAGACATAAAAATCAATAAATCTTATATACTAAAAACTATCCATACTTTTTTTTTAACTCTTCCAAAAAGTTCACTTATAATGAATATATTAATTTTTAAATAAAATAAATAGATTTTATACATGCCTCAACTAAAAGATCTCGAGAAAAAAAAAAAAAGCGTTGGAACCAATAATTATAATTCTCTCTTTGTGGTAAAGGAAGTATAACATAAATTTAAGAAACCAATGCTTGCGGAAAGTTATTAAATATTAAATAAATAATATTACTTATTTTTCCTCTGTGATACATGATGTTCTGAATTTTATTTTATATATTAATTATTATATTTTAATGATAAATTTTAAATTTATATAAAATAAATACTAACTAATAATTTGTAAATAAAATAGTTGTTTATTATAAAATATTATTGATTTATTTCTCTTATGAGATATTTTTAATAAAAAAATTTACCTGAAATCTTGGAGACCCAGTCAAAATTCACATATAAAAAGGAGAAAAACTGACATTACAAATTAATTAATATACACGTGCCTTCCACGTGGTTTCAACAATATCTTTCTGTGTTTGAGATTCCAGTTCTCAACCGCCAATTCTTTCAAGACCACACCCTCCCCAAGCGCCATGGAACTCAATCATCATTCCCACCCATGCCCATGGCCACCATCTTTATTCCCACCACCTTCAAAACTAAGCTTCCCAGCCCACGCTATTCTCACCGGAGGTCCACCTGTTCTTCCGTCACCGCCCAATCCCGATCCGCCAGGGAGCACCTCCTAACTCTCATCGCTGACCAGGAGCGCGGCCTCCGCACCCAGAAAGACCCTACGCAGCGAGCCGCAATCGTCGAAGCCATCGATACCATGGCCGTCGTCGGCTCCGGCTCCGTCACCACCGGCGATTCGCTGTCGGGGACGTGGCGGCTTCTGTGGACGACGGAGAAGGAGCAACTCTTCATCATCGAGAAGGCTCCCTTGTTCGGAACCCGAGCCGGCGACGTATTGCAGGTTATAGATGTTCGGAAAAGGACCCTCAACAACGTCATCACTTTTCCTCCTGATGGCGTTTTCTTTGTTCGTTCTGGTATTGAGATTGCGTCGCCGCAGAGAGTGAATTTCAGGTGAATACTACTACTAATAATAATGTTCCTTTTGTGTAATTGTAGTTTTGAAACATAGTTTAGCTTTAGCATTTACCTCTGTGTGTGTGTTTTTTTTATTTTATTTTTCTAAGCTGTGTAGCGTTACTCAATTTTAAAGTTGTTAGATATGGAGTATGAAATCATTTATGTGCCTTCAAATAATAGCTTACACATTTGGGAGAGTTAGGGTCTGTTTGGTTTCACTAATATTTTTTGTTTTCATTTTTTATTTTACTTTTAATTATAAAATTGCCACTTTATTTTCAACTATTCCTATTTTTTGTTTTTGACGTAGTATTAGAGTTGTGCCATTTTGCGTGACCTTTTTCAGTCCATGCTGTTGAATTCCTAAATTTTAGAGCTCGTTTGTTATACTCTTTTTAGCCCATCCTTAATTTTCAATGATGGTCTTTTGGCATTTGTTGGGTATGCTTCCACCAAAATCGTACACTTTCTTTCAACCGGAGTCATGTTCATTTGGTGTGTACAATGCTCAAATTTGGTGTGCTATTCCAACCCTCAGTTGTTTTCAATTGGCTCAGATTATTTATTTCCATTCTATGGTTGTTATATCTGGATTGTGGCTTCTTTCTCACTGGAAAAATTGCAAAACATACTAGTGGTGACTTGTTCCCATCAACAATCATTTTGATAGGAGCTATGACTTACACTACCTTGGACAAATTTCCAAGCTTATTAGACCTCTTAAGCGTTTGGTCGATGATTTGAAAGAAAAGGTTGATGTTAAACTTGAGTTATGGAGGGAGATTTTAGAATCTAAGGATTTTTGCTTGAGTAGAAGTAAGACAAAGTATATGTATTGTAGGTTTAGCAAAAAATAAGATGAAGATCATGTGTTAAAAGTAATGTTATCAATGGTGGATGACGGCTCATAGCAAAAACCAAAAAAACTGCCATAAAGTTATGGCGGCCGCCATGGCGGGTTATGGCAGATATAATAAAATATATAAAAAAATACTATAGGTCACAAGAAATGATAGAAAATAATTAACTCAAAATATATGCAGCACAACCTACAATTCAAAATATAATTCAATACAAAATATGCAATTATCAAATGTCAAGTTAACAATAAAAACAAAGATGAGCAATTTAATCCTCTTTTTCAACTCCAACATAATCATCTTCTTTCTCATCTACCAAGGCATATCTCTCCTCCTCTTCTCCCTTAGATTGTGGAAACTTTTGCAGTTTTGATAGTGATACCACTTGATGGACTCTTTCTTTTCTTAGAATGACGCCTAGTATATATTGTAGGCTCTCCAATTCCAAAAACTTCATAAATAGTTGCCCAATTTAAAGTGTTATCACCATAAAAAACTAAGTCATTTCCAGTATCCTCATCATGAGCATCATCATCCATTTCTCCAACCAACCACTCGTTACACTCATCAATGTCATTGAGTGTAATTGGATCAATTACATCTTTAAGATTGTAACGTTCTTTGAATTGTTGATTATATTTCACATAAACCAAGTCATGTAATTTTTTGTGATCAAGCCTATTCCTCTTTTTTCAATGAATCTGCAACATGAGTTTAACTAAAAGAATATTAATTAGTCTCTTTCTAATTTTTAGAAGAAAGTAGTAGGTTTGAAAGATGAGAAATTACTTGCTCAAAAACACTCCAGTTGCGTTCACATTCGGATGCACTACATGTCAAGCTCAAAATTTTGATAGCTAGTTGCTGCAAATGTGGAGTTGAATATCCATACATTCTCCACCATTGAGCTATAAAATGAAAGATAAATTATAACTCTAAAGATGAATTATAACCTTAAAATTAAAAAGTTGAAGACTTTGATGAATTACCAGGAGCAATGCTTTTTCTTTGTGATTTTGCAAAGTCGGACCCAAAGAGACCACCACCACTCTTATAAATTGGTAATTCAAATAGTATGCTTTGTTGCACATCCCGACTTGGCCCTAACCTCTTGATACAATCATACAACCCATTTATAACCTCCAAATCAAATTCTATTTGAGGGTTGCCATAAAAGAACTCCGGGTTTAAAATGTTACCAGCTGCATGTAATGGACGATAAAACTGACAAGTCCATCTATTATCAATGATTTCAAACACATCTTTGTATTTGCTTCCATTATTTTTGAATGACTTCATAATAGTTTTTTTAGCTTTCTCCATTGCTTTATAAATATATCCCATGGCTGGTCTTCTTTCCCCATCAACCAAACGTAACACCCGAACAAGAGGAGCCATGATTTTCAAAGTAGATACCACATTATTCCAAAATACAAGATTTAATAGAATTTTGGTTGCTTTCTTCCCTTTAACTTCCTTTGACAATTTGTTTTTACACCACTCCTCAAAAGTAAATATTTTTCTAAGATTTGTTTTTTCTTGATGAAGCCTTTCTAATGATAGAAAAGAAGTTGCAAATCTAGTAACTGCATGCCTCACTAATTCCCTCTTGTTTGTAAAATTTCTCAACAAACTCAAGGTATTTGAATGACTGTAGATAAAGCCAACAACAGATATTTCCCTTTGAATTGTCTTCTTTATCAAGGGAAGCTTTCCAATATTTTTAAGCATAAGATCTATGCAATGAGCTGCACAAGGAGTCCAATAAAGATGTTGCCTTTTTGCTTCCAACATCTTACCGACCAAGACATAATTGCTCTCATTATCTGTTATCACTTGCACAACTTTATCTTCTCCAATCTCCTCCACAAGAGCATCAAGCATCTCAAATAATTTTTCACCAGTCTTCACAAAATTAAATCCATCAATGGACCTCATAAACATAGTTTCAGCAGGAGAATTGACCAAGAAATTAATAAAACATCTTTGCTTTCGATCTATCCATGCATCTGACATGATAGAACAACCATATTTGCTCCATTGCTCTTTATGATCTTTCATCAAAGAATCAGTATATTCTAACTCTTTCTTAAGAAGTGGAACTCGAATATTATGATAACTTGGAGTCGGTAAATTTGGACCAAGGGCACCAACAGCTGTGAGCATTTCTTGAAAGTTTTTCAATTTAACAAGGTTAAAGGAAAGGCCAGCTTGATACCAAAATCGAGCTATGTATTGATGGACCCTTGCCTTGGCTTCTTTGTCACATCGTTCTCTTATATTTGTTTGTCTCAATTTTCCTTTTTTTTCTTTTCTCAATGGCACTTTCTGACTTTCTACAAAACAAGTCCACTGGCCCTTTCTGATTTCCAATGACAATGCTACGGGTTTGGGTATCCTCTTCATCCTCACTTACATCATAACTTATACCTTCAAAGCTTCTCACATTTGGCATCTCAAAATTATTTTGACTCTTTTTTTCCTTTTGATATGTCTCAATCTCTTTTCTAACTTCTTCTGGACACTTGGGACAAGCTTTCACATTACCCTTCTTTCCAATTAAATGTTGTTTCACTCTGGTGATTCCAGCACTCATAACTTTTCCACAAAAGTTACATATAATGTTGTTTGTATCTTCATCTTTAACTGAATGAGCATATTTCCATCCTGGGTCAGATGATTAGAAGTTCTTGAACAATTTGATGAAGACTCATGTTGAGCCATGTTAAGAGTAGCTGAAATAAATAGAATTTTTTTTTGAGGAAAATCAGAGAAAAATAGAGATGTGGGAGAGGTAGAAATTGAAAGATGGAAAGGGTAAAATTTAAATGAGGGAAATAAAAAAAAATTGAGAGGAAAAATAAAAAAAATAGCTACCAGAAAAAATGGAGTTGCCAAAGATGGAGGTGGAGTCGCCGAAAATGGAGGTTGGAGTCGCCGAAGATGGTGCAGTCGCCAGAGATGCAGTTGCAGTCGCCGGAAGTAGAGACCGAAATGCACCAAAATAAAAACCGAAGGAGCCCAATACAAAAACAGATCTCAGCAGAGAGATCTCAGAAAAGAGATGGAGGGCTCTCGTAGAGAGAGAAAGAGAGAGAGACTGAAATCTTGATGGAGGGCAAAGAGAAAAGAGATGAGCAGAGAGGAGAGTGAGATCGTAGAAAGAGATAGTGCAATCGCAAAGAGAGGGAGAAGGAGATCGTAAGGAGAAGAGAGGGAAAAAACCTGATTTAGGGTTGGGTTCTGAACTAGGTCGGGTCGGATCTGGCCAAAAAGTGCAGAAAATCCATATTTTTAAACAAAAAACGCCATTTCTAACGATTTTCGCCATGGCCGGCCGTTACCGCCATGCTCGTAACGGCCGCCATGTCATTCCGCCACGCACCGCCATCTTCGTAATGGCCTCCGTCATTTCCGCCACGCCATTCCGCCATGGCGCCGCCATAACCGACATTTAACAACTTTGGTTGAAAGTTAAACTTGATGATGATATCTTACCACAAGTTTCCAGTTTTGCGTACTTGGGATCAATTATACAAAATGATGGAGAAATTAATGAAAAAGTTACTCACAAAATAAAAGTTGGATAGTTAAAGTGGAGAAAAAAATCAGGAGTGATTTGTGACCATAAAGTACTTATCAAGTTAAAAGTAAAGTTTTACCGTATTGCAATACGACTAACTATCTTATATTGTAGTGAATGTTGGCTTTAAAGGAACAACACGAGAAGAAAGTGAGTGATAGAAATGAAAATACTAAAGTAGATGAGTGGACACACAAGAAAGAACGTGATACAAAATGATAGTAAACGAGAGAATATTGGAGTAGCACCTGTAGTAGAAAAGATGACTGGAAATCATCTAAGGTTGTTTGGTTATGTGTAGAGAAGACCTTTGGAGGCACTGGTAAGGAGAATGAATTGCATGACTTTTAGTCTAGTAAAAAGGGGTTGAGAGAGACTCAAAAGAATCTTAGATGAAGTTATTTAAAGATACCTTTTGATTAACCAGATTTATGAAAATTTGGTTTCTAACTAAGCTCAATGGTATTCTGTTTGTGTGATCCATGTAACCACCTCACCTAGTGAGATAAGGCTTGTTGTTTAGATCTCATAAGATTTCTAGTTGTCTGAAATTTTCAAATGAAGTGTTGCATCTTGCATAAGTTTTACATATGTGAAAATTCAATAATTGATTGCCAGGAAATTTTTGTTAATTACTTTTTGAGTGAAATTTTTTACTCAGGAGGTCATGCAATATTCCAACCTGTTAGAGTATGTTATTACATAACTGTAACTGGTGACTGTATACACATTCTTGTCATAGAACCTGCTGTATGCTAGCATTGCCAACTGTTAGTTTTCATTGTGATCAAATGGTAGATAGCTCTGTGTTTGACAACTCTATAAATATAGTGTCTGAAAAGCGAGAATCACCAGTTGTATTCAATATTTTTCCTCAACAGCATCAGATTTATCAGAAATTTCCCTGTCACAATTTCCCCTCATTTTCTTTCCTTTACTATCATTTTCTCACTTGTCAAACTCTAATACAACCAATTTTCAAATTTGAAGCTAATAGTCATTCTAGGTGTCATTCTATGTTATCTCTTTAGAAATTAGCAGGGTCAAAGTGTTTGTGACTGGAGACTGGCAGGGCCAGATTGTATATTGGATTGAGATCAGAGTGTGGCAATGAAGGTGAAAAACACTGAGACTAGACTTGCACACAGTAGAATGGGGGATTTTGATTTGGTGATCTTTGATAAAAAAACAAAGTTACAATTAAGCCTAGTGGTGGATTAGCAATAGACAGAGAAATAGAGAAAGAATCATGGAAATAAGATGGAGCTCCATATTTTTTTGGAACTCAATTTGGGAGTAGTGATGGGATCGGTCATAGAGGATGCTATTGCTTTGGTACCTAGCTTTTAGGTACAGAGGGAGGGAAAGGACATCATGAGACTGAATTGATATAAACTTGATATCATATGATGATATTAGTTTGTAATCCTAGTTAAATAAGGAAACAAATCATGAAATAGTAAGAAAATATAAAAACTAATCCTTAGAGATTATCTAAGATAATTATTCTAAGATTTAAATATAATATACTATTGGATATTTTCCATATATTCAAGCAAGAGCACTGAGTTGTTTCAAAATTTCATTGCATTTCTTGGGTTGTTTTCAAATTTAATTAGACAAATTGTCTTATTGAATTATTGAGTTTGTGTTAGCAATACTACACTAATACACCAACTAATTATTAATATGAATGCGTGTTTGGTTTAATTTATTTTGGAGACTTATTCACGATTTGGCAACTTTTGCACGAACACTTGTTCACGCCCACCTAGATCCTGTCCATCACACACAGAACCATTGCATCATATCTTAATCTTGAGCTTAAAGTTAACGACCATTTCTATTTGTTTGTATCAGGTTGCAAGCATATCTAACTTGTTATTGGTGTGAGTTTGAAGAGTAACCTTATGTGTTAAGTTGTACACTGATATTTATATAATAGAATTGTACTCTTATACTTTTAAATAGCAAAGTTAAAGTACACTTTTAAAGACTAAATTATTTATTTATTCATCTAAGAGTCATTTAATATATAGTCCTTGGGTAATATTTCAGTTTATTTTAGCATTTCATCCCATTTCATTGAAAAACAAAATTGTTTGGATTTATTTCATATACAATATAAGGCATACAATTGTATTACACTAATTAGTAGTCATAGATAATAGATAGATAGATAGAGGTGTAAAGAAGCTAATACGCGTGAGGATTAATTTGTACATACAAATACTTTCAGGGACCAAGAGCACTTAACTACACATGTCTAATTCATGTCCCATATTAGTAAATCTGTTACATTTTATTAATAACCATTAATGGGAGGACAAAACTGTGAACAAAGTTGATACATTTGGGGACTGAATTTTATAAAATGACTCTTTCAGGGATAAAAAATAAACAAGGTGCTACTTTCAAGGACCAAATTGTATACTTACTCTGAAGTTTTAGACAAGATTTTATATGGATGGCATTGTTTCATACTTTAATTAAAAGTGTAAACTTGAAAATTAAATGTATATTGTTTTCACAGAAATATTCATATTATCTATGATGATTGATATTGGTTGTTTTTAGATTTACTAGTGCAGTATTGCGTGGGAAGAACTGGGAAATGCCATTGCCACCGTTTGGTCAGGGTTGGTAAGTACTCTTACTATGTTGTTGAAAATTTTAGTTGAATGATTTAGGAATATTTCTGATCTATATTCTAATATTACAGCATTGCCTATTGACCAACAATATCAGTGTTCATTCCCTCTCTTTTTTCTTTTAAAATTTAATGGTTGTAGAGATGTGCATAATGATTATGTAATATCTACATGATATTATATTATTTAAAATCATGTTATCCACAATCACACTATCTATGCAGTTACCTTTTTTACATATATTAATCTCAATATTCTCTTTCAAGCTAGAGCATATAAATAATATGCAACAAGCTTGTATTATAAGTAATATTTTCATTAATTTCTCATCATTTTATATAATCGATCCCAAGTACTTGAAACTTGGAATTTGTGGTATAGTATTATCCCTAATTTTAACTTTCTAACGCATAATCTTCATCTTGTTTTTTGCTAAACTTAAAATACATGTATTCTCTCTTACTTTTATTTAAGCAAAAATCTTTAGATTCTAAAGTTTTCCTCCATAATTCAAGTTTAGCATTAACCTCTTCGTTCGAATCCTCAAGCAATACTATATCATTTGCAAAGAGCATGCACTTGGGGATAATATTTTGTATGCTACTTATAAGTATATCTAAGACTAGATTAAACAAGTAAGAGCTCAAAGTGGAGCCTTGATGTAAATCTATCCCTATTGGAAAGTCCTTAGATGCATCTTTAGAAGTTCTTATACACATAGTAACCCTCTCATACATGTCTTGTATAACTTGAATATATTCTACCCGAACTCTTTTTTTAAAGTCTTCCATAACACTTGTTAAGAAACTTAGGTCTAACTCACTCCCAAAAGCTAGTTCATAGGAAGAGGACTACCCTGTTAGCCTTTATAAAGAGTATTTAAACTCTATTTCTAGTTAATGTGAGACATGTTCACCATAGTAGTCAATAGTGGTCACTATCGTGGAGGTGCGAAGCAAAGTGACAAGGTGCTGCAATCTCATCGTCGTCGCATCAGATTTTACTATAGCAGCCATCGCATTGCAAATTGCAGCCATCGTGGCCGCTATTTCATCCTAGGTCAAATTCCTAATTTATCCTCCCTTTTTGAACGTTGGGTGACTTTTAAGGGGGCAATCTTGAGATTTCTCCCTACTTTTGCATTTCTAATATCTTCTTCTCCCTCGCAAGCTACCCCTAAGCCCCTATCTCGTTCTCATCTCTCAGTTCTCCTCTCGTACTCCACTTCTCTCCTTCTTTTGCTTTCAGTGTCCTTCATCTCCGGCGAAGCTTCCAACGTGATAAAGTCAATCTCTAGTCATCTTCTTCATTTTTAGTGAATCTTCTGATCCAAACGTTTTCTAGTCATCTTCATCTCTGGCGAAGCTTCCAACATGACCTAAATATTTTCTTGTCATCATCTTCATCTTCGGCTAAACATCCAATGAGCCTAAATATTTTTTGGTGACCGACTATTCTCTATTTTTTATTTTCCTTCTATGTTTTGATTTTCTTGCTTTAATTTGTTTAAAATTTGAATCCATATAATAGAAGCAATGACTGCCCTTGACAATCAGTCATATGGAACTACCTCTATTTCAATTTCTTCTTTTGCATTAGTGAAGCTAACAGGTAATAATTTGGTATAGGTTGGCAATGGAATAGTTTGAAAGACATCAATAATAAAATATCTATTACTTGTGACTTTTGTGGAAAAACTACCACCCGGCAGTATTACCCGAGCATAAAGACATTGAATGAGAGTGAAGAGAGATGTTGATAGTTGCCTAATGATTTTCAAAAAAGATAAAAGAAACACTAATAATAACTCAGAAGAAGAAGAAAGTTGAGATATAGGTATATTTAGTTCATTTTGATGAAGATAATGATGAGGAAGAAGTGCAAGAAATTCAAAATATTTGTAGTGAAAAATAAAAAATTGCTACATCAAGTGCTACATCAACTTGTGTTAGTGGTGGTACTATCACCAAAAAAGGAAAAAATGTCAAGGCCCCTTGGATTTATTGTAGTTGAAGAGTTCAAAAACAAGCATCAAATTAGCAAAGGCAAAAAGACAAACAAGTATAAATGATGCTTGTGTCAATACATAGAGCAATTTCTTTGTAGGAATGGATATGCTTTCAATATTGTGCGTTCAAAAAGCTTCAAATTAATGGTTAAAGTTATTGTAAATTATGTACCACACCTAAAGTATCCTAGTTATTATGAGTGTAGAGTTTGTCTTCTTTAAAAGAAGTAAGAGTATACAAAAGAAATGTTGAAAAGTTGTGAAGAAGAAAGAGAAAGTGTGGATGATCAATTATGTCAAATGCATGAACAGATTAAAAAAAAAAGAATATTGATCAATTTCTTAATAAATTGTCCAACTGGTTCTTAATATGTGAAAAGCATTGATACATCTGTTTATATGAAAATTGGAGAAAAGTTGTTTGACCTCTTGGATAATTTTGTTGAGGAGATTGAAAAGAAAAATGTTGCGCAAGTAGTCACTAATAATGGAAGTAATTATGTGTTAGCTGGTAAGAATTGTTCTTAACTTTTAAATAATTTCATTTTAACAATTTGTATTCTTATTTTATTAGTTTTAATTTTAGACTATGCAATTTAATTTTAGCCAAGTTGTTCTAAGCTAAAAGACTATTTAACTGTTTGTTTTAAACTCCATGCGCTGCACACTATATTGAATTAATGTTGGAAGACATTAAAAAAATAGCGAGAGTCAAGAGTATAATACAAAGTGGAGTTAGTCTTATGAGCTTTATTCATAATCATTCATTGACTTTGAACATTATTAGGATGTTCACAAATAAATCTGAATTGGTTGAATATGTAGTGATAAGATTTGTCACAACATTTCTCACATTGCTAAGGTTGCATAACAAAAAAAAAAAAAAAAAAAAACAAAACAAAAACAAAAAAACAAAAAAAAACACCTTAGAAAAATGTTCACTTCCAATGATTGTAGTTTAATATATATTAAGTATATTTAAATTTTCATAATAACAGTCAATTTGCTATCTCGCTATAGTATTTTTGGGGTCGGTCGCTCTATGCTGCTATCCAATGTTGACTACTATGATCTTAACATCACTCTTATTACCCAATCATATGTTTTTTTCAAGTCAATAAAAATTATTTGTAAGTCCTTTTCTTTGTAGCTATACTTTTTTATCATCTTTCGTAAAGAATATATAACTTCTGTTATCAACTTTTCTATCACAAAATTAAATTTGATTTTTTGCAATCTCAATTTCTTACTTTAATTTATGTTCAATCACTTTTTTCCTCAACTTCATAGTATGACTCATAAGTTAAATCCATCTATAATTTGTACAATTTTGAATATCACTCTTGTTCTTGTATATAGGAACTAAAGTGCTCTTCTTCCATTTACCTGATATTTTTAAATCTTAAAATCTCATTAAAATGTTTAGTGAGTCACTCAAGTCTTTGTTTTTTCAACTTTAATAGGGATATTATTAGAGCTAGCCGTTTTACCATTTTCTATCCTCTTAAAAGCTTATTTTACTTCCAATTTCAATCCTCTGGTAATATGTCAAATTTAGATATAAATTTTCATTTTTAATGATGCTATATTTTTATTTGCTCCTTATCTATCATTAAAAAGTTTATAGAAATATATCTCCTATCTATCTTTGAAATCTTGATCCAAAACTAGAATTTTTCCTTCTTCCTTAATACATTTAACTTGATCTAAATCACTATTTTTTTTTCTTTATTTTTGTTTAGCTTATAATTTTTGTTTCATCATACTTTGTTTCAAGATCTTGATAAAACTTTAAAAGCATTAAAACACGCTTCATTCACTATTTTTTTTGTCTCATATTTTGCATTCCGATACATTGTCCAATTTTCAGCATTGTTACATATATGAAAAGTTTTAAAACACATCATCTTCTCTTTAATATACTCTTGCACACTTTCATTCCACCATCATAATTGTCTTTGATCCAAAACCTCTAGATTCACCTAAATTTTTTTTGGCAAATTTTCTAACCTTTGTAGCTATTTTGTCTCAAATGATGTTAGGATTACCTTGTGCAACCCAACTACCCTTTTTTACTAACTGGTTTTCATCTTTAAGTAGCCACCATTTGATTTTTGGAACAAACAATAACTTGTAGAATTTTCTGTTTACAAGTCTTGAGATGAACATCAAGGATCAAGACCCTATGTTGTATAGTAGTAAGACTCTTTCTTAGAATTACTTTATAATCCTTGCAAATTACTTTGTCCAGGTTTCTTACCAAGAAAAAATCAATTTGTGACCTTGCAACTCTGCTCTTGAAAGTGATAAGATGTTCTTCTCTCGTTTTAAAACAAGTGTTCATAATCTTAAAGTCGTAGGTCATTAAAAAATTAAGAATAGATTGTCCTTTCACATTTGACTTTCCAAAACCAAAACCACCATGAATCCTAGTAAATTGTTTTGCTTCACAACCAATGTGACTATTAAAGTCTCTACTCATGAAAATCATTTTGGTTTGTGGAATTTCTTAGATGATGAACTCCTCTAATCCTTCTAAAACTTTGTTTTCAAAAGAACTTCTCAGTTAACTTGTGGAGCATAAGCACTAATGATATTAATAGTATCTTGTGCAATTAATAACTTCAAGGACAAGATCCTATCTTCAATCTTTTTAATCTATCACACTTTTTTTTTAAGTATTATCCACAATAATGCTTATTTTGTTCTTCCATTTACCTTTTTTGTATATTAAAAAAGTTTGAAACTTGTAGCATCAAACTTCTTAGTCTTATTTCTAGCCCATTTTGTTTCTTAAAGGTACATGATGTTAATCTTTTTGCGAATCATAGTGTTCACTACTTTCAATGGCTTTCTTATCAAAGTACCGATATTCTATGAATCAAACAAAAATATGCATTCCTGTATTAACTTTACCTACATTCATTCGGTCAAATGTGAGGACCTTTGCTTATTTAAATTTTTGATCACCGAAGTAGTGACTATCTCATTTGACACTATACTTGAGCCATATAGCATGTTACTTCCGGATAATGACGTAGTTCTAGCACTATACTTGAGCCATATAGCATGTTACTTCCGGATAATGACGTAGTTCTAGCACAATATCATCATGTGTAACCAATATAAAAAGATTTTGACTAGTTTTACGTTGGCTGTCGAGACCTAACACTACCTTTCTCCTTTTTCCGGGTATGGGACCGGCTATGGAGCCATTGGCAGAGTTACAGTAGTCTCTTTTAACTAAGAAAAAATTATATAAGCCTTGGTTGCATGGTTTGGCAAGAGAATGGTTGAAAATCCTAATGAAGAGAGAGTTGAAGCAAACAGAGACCGAATATGATTAAGTAGAAGTCTTTGAATTCTTGTCTTCCTAAGTAAGGAAATTGCCACAGGAACAATGCTTAAGTTTTATGTAGGAGGTTAACAGCAAGACATCAAACGGAAACTGCATATATTGAAGCCTCGATCCCAACTTCAAGCCAAGCTGTTGGTCCCTCCTCTAACCAAAGAAAGTCATGGTCCCTATCAGAGTCACTAATACTAAACGTAGCAATTTTTTTATTCACATTTTTTTTTAGTACAAACTACTGAAAATGAAAATAAAAAATCCATAGAGCCTCGTTTAGTTGGAGAAAACATTTCATTTTCATTTTTTTTCTTTTTAGTAATAATTACAAAAATGTCACTTTGTTTCTTTTATTCAAAGATTTGTATGGTAAGCGATGAAAACAATAAAATTAAAGTGAATATTTGTTTTATTACACTTTACCATTTTCTCTAGAAATATTTGAAAACACGTAACAAAGTAAAACTAGTATGACATTTTTAATTATTAGTAAACATAAATGAAAAATTAAAATAAACATTCTCAAAATAAATAAATCCTAAATTTCTGGACATTTATATTTCCTTTCATGTTTCCATTATACACCTCATTTTCTTCCTTTCCTTAGCAAGCATGCCTTATGTAACACTCCAAATTTTTGTAAATTAGTAATACATTGATCGTCTTCATTTTGATCTTGCATGTGTGTACTTGATTGTTTACAAGAGAGAGAGTCAAAATCCGTTGACATCATGTGTCAAACTTGAACTAAGTTAAATTGTTTACAAACTAAGTTTTTATGTCCTAAGATTTTGCCTTACCTGAAAACACGAAGCTATTATTTTATTTTAGATGATTTTGATATGTTTCTTTCTGGAAAGGTTTGTGAATGAACACACATGACACAGTATGAACTAGACCGTGAAGGAAGCCATCAAATTTTAATTCGTCAAGCCCAATCAAAGAAAATTTAATGTAATTGGGTCTTGCTCACTTATCCATTTTATCTTGATTAGTGATTATTAACTTTTAAATTTTTTAGGGAGATATCTATTAATATTTTTGGCTGCATTTTGTACTAAAAAATATGAACATGAGATCAGTTCACTAAACCCGCCCTAGGATCAATTTTAAAATGAACAAAATCCCACTCTTCCATGCCCCTCTCAAAATACACGGCTAATCAACCCCTCACCCACCTCACTTTCATTTTTTCGCCCCTCTCAACACAATCATCTCATCTTCTTTCTACCAAAATCGAGTCACTGTCTCTATCTTACAACCTCCATTTTTCTTCTTCTTTTCTTGCATTCAAGAGCACCTTTGCATCGCTCATCATCTCTTCTGCATAGTCCACCCCTTTGATCCTCCATTTTTGCCCTCTTCTCGTTTTAAGCTTCAAAATTGAGCTCCATAGGAAAGGGGAGAACTGCATTTTTGTTGTCCAGAGTGGTGAGACAAATCTCGTTTATGATGTGTGCATGTGTTTGTTTTGATATGTTTTATGATAATCTTAGATCTTGGAGGAGGACCAGTTGGTGCTCTCTTTACCCACCTTTAAGCACTTTTCAAACCGAGTAAGAGGGAGAAGATTTTAGGTTGTTAGTTGGTGGAATGGTGTAGGATAGCCCTTAATCCATGGTTGAATGCGTTTGATTACATGTTTGCATGAATGATTGTTTGGACTTCCTAAGGGCTGTGTAAGCCCTTTGGGTTCTAATTTTTTATCTGTGGATTGATATTCTGTTGAGTATGTGGTTTTAGTTAAATTACACTTGGATTTTTGAAGCTCACAAAAACGTTTTTGAACTTTGCATGTTGGCTTTTCTACTGTGTTCAGAAGATTGCATGCCATTTTTAACCCTTTATGAGTTGTAGTTTTTAGCTGAAATTTTGCAGGATGATTACCCTCTGTGTGAAATTTTTACAATTTTACCAATTTTATTTTATTTTTCAATTTATACTATTTTTCTAGTGTGGTATGCTTTGTTCTGACCTGCATGCAATATGTCCGTGTTGAGTAATGACACTTGGAAGAAAAATATTGTTTGTCATGGTAAGGTATGAACAATGTGGTAATGAAACTTCTGAAGTTTTACTTTTGTGCAGGTTTGATACTGTCTACCTCGATGATGAACTTCGAGTTGTAAAGGACATCAGGGGAGATTATTTGGTTGTTGACCGAGCTTCCTTTTGCTGGAAAGAATGAATGGAATCTTTATTATGTATTTGCTGGTGCGTCTTCATTAATGAAAACTTCTAACTCAATTGCATGTATAGTTTTAGTTCAACTTTGTGCTATATTAATTAGACAAAACTTATACAATGTTCTTTAGTGCCCTTTAACATTAAAATTAGAGTTTTATTTTAATAAAAAAATTGTATTTAATGTTGTTTTATATAAAATTAAGTGTTATCAGTAGCGCTTCTCTCCAAGATTTCAACCATAGCGAAAGTAACTCCTGTGGTACAGGGTTTTAGCCCCAAACAAATTGATGTAATTCAAATGTTGTCTTTAAACCCGACACTTCACAACAACAAACAAGCGCATCATTTAATTGATGTATTGCAGGTTATATTTATTTGAGTTTTGTTAATTTCAACTAATAAACTTTTATTAAAAGATGTTTACTTATATTAAAGATCCAAAAGCATAATAAATATTTTTTAATAAAATTATTAGTTGCTTAAATTTTGTATAAAAACTGAGGGTAAAATTTTTCTGTTTTCTATTTGGAAAAAGTTATGTAATCAACATGGTGGGTATAACTGTATTTGACCTGGCTTGTTTTTAAGGTTAATTAATTTTACAATTAATAAGGAAGTTTTTGAAAAGAGAAACTCTACAAAATGTATTCCACCTCGTCAGTCATCCTCGGTTATGTTTGTTCTGGTTTCGAGTTTTTTCCTTGGATCGCATTTTAATTTTGTTAACAGCACTTCAATTTCCTATTTTTTCTGTTCTTGAATACTTGATTTTCCTGTTGAAATTATTATTTTTCTATTGTTTTTCTCTTCATGATTATTTTATCTTCTGGCGTTTTTCATGTTTTGCAAGTTGGGCCTTGTAATACGCTGTACTAAGTCGTCATTTGCTCCAATACACTCGTGCAAGTTGGGCCTTGCTATAATAATGAAATTCTTATTTTTGTATAGAATTTTTATCCTTTTTTCATCTTAGTATTTTTTTTTCCTATTAAATTAGTAATTACATAACTTATTACCTCTCTCAATTTTCTCTCTCCCCCTCTTTTTTTATCTCTGTTTTCCTTCCACCTTTACACCCGTAAAGTGTAAGTGTACAAGAATGACTATCGTTTTTGTTTAATTTTTCCACAGCTTGTGTCTCATGCCTGCTTAAGTGCGTAAACTGCATGCTGTAGTGGAAGCATTGAACATTTTGGGCACACTGAGAATTTATTGAACTGAATCCAATAATTCGTATTTTCTATCCATCTTTGAAGATTGCTTGGATGTCATAACCCAGTCCATTTAATTCAAATCGTTGAAAAGCACAAGTAATGTTAATGTTAATATATGGTATGCCAATCTTTTTCTTTTTGTGGCCAATATGTAGTTATTTAATCTGCAATATAGTATCACTATCTTTTCAAAAGAGCAAACATTGCGTTAAAACAGTTTGGACTGTAGTTGTCTTATGTAAGGCGTGTATACTATTATTTACCTATTTAAATTCGGTATCCGGATTCTCTATAATTTTTTCATAACGAATTAATTTTGTTTAAGCAAAATAAGTGAAAAAAGTGATTTTTGGATTCAGTTCAATAAATTATTAATGTGACATCCAAGCAATCTTTAAAGATAGATAGAAAATATGAATTATTGGATTCAGTTCAATAAATTTTCAATTTGTCCAAAATGTTAAAAATTGTGACTTTTTACAAAATTTTAGCTTTAAGAAATTTTTTTAACTTAATAAAAAATTACTTATTTTTTATTTTATGTGAGTAAAATTAATTCATTTAAACAAAAATGGATCGTAGGTTCTGACTTTCTAGACAATTTTAGATTAAACAAAAAATTTTAGGTTAAGTGAAAATTATTTTTTATGCTTATTTCATTTAAACAAAAGAGAATCACAAGATCATGTTAATGCCAAAACGGCAAAAGATTTGTAAGGTGCATTAAATTATAAAGTAATTAAATTTAAGCAAATATGTTTTTCCACCTCTTAATTCTCCTCATTCTCATTTTTTTTAAACAAGGGTAATTAAATTTTAAGCTAATATTGTAACAAAAAAAAATTATAAGGTAATATGAATCTTGAGATCTAAGTTAACATTGCATGGTAAATAATTGTATTTTATATTCATTAAATAGCAACAAAATACCAAAGTGGCATCATTGTTATTTATTTATTCAAAAGGGGGGAGATTGTGGTGAAGACACATTTATTAAGTCGCATATGCTCCCTTCTGATGCATGGTTTAACTTTTTTTTGGGATAAGGCTCTTCTGTTGCATTTGAAGATATTTTTCTTTGCATGTGGCATAAAATCTTGCATAATGACTTTTTTCTTTCTCATATTAATGTTTGATTTGATTTTAGTGGCTGATTATGGACAAAATTGCGGTAGTTGACTAACTGGATTTAGGGTCAGGGTGACGTTTGGAGTCTCATTCTGTCCCCCACACATGGAAGATAAGGGGAACACAACTGCATCAGCAAGCGAAGAAAAGTGGAGCTGTGAGTAAAGATTAGCACACCAAATTGGCTTTGGATTATGTTGTGATTATGCACTAAGTGAGCGTGCAACTACTAGACCCAATGGCTGGGACCATCACGTGTGTGTCCCCTTCGCCATTTTATATTGTATGAGCAGACTTTTTGTCCATTATTATGGATACTTTCTAAAGCTCTCCTTTTTCTTTTTTGATTTTTTCTAATCATCATGTGGGATCCTCGTTACTGTGACTTGTTACGTCTAAATGAACTTGTATTTATTTAATGTAATCTCTTTCCTAAGTCCATATATTATTTATTTTGACCATAATAGTTTTCCTAATAATTATTTCAAATTGAAGTGATAAAATGTAACTAATTTTAAAATATTTTCAACTTATTGTTATAGATTTGGAGTGATTACTTAGATAAAAATATCAAAACAGTTGGTATAACTTGGTATTTTTCTCTTGCAGTTTAAATTAAATACTTAGTTATATTATTTATGTAATTGTTATACATTAAATTATGAGCCTATCAAATAATATATCCTCCAATAAATTATGAAATTTGCTCTTCTTTTCTGCATTGTACATTTTTGACTTGTGGGGGTTTGGTGGCTTCTGATGATGTTTCCTCTGAAATCTCCTTTCAAACAAATATGATTAAATATGCATGCCAGTATTATATATCATTATCTGAATAGATAAATCATAACAAAGTGGATTTAATGTCAAGCATAATTTAGCTACGTTGGGTTCATTTTTTTATTAAGGTTGGCGAAAGGTCAATAGAGTGTAACATTGCTTATAATTTGTACATTACTTTTGCAAATTTGGTAGAATCTATGTTATAGATATTCTATGACGCATCAATAACCAAAATCCCTGCAGTAGCTTCACTTGTCCCGTCAGTACCCTGAGCTTTCTCTATGATAATTATTGCTGTTCCTCCTTCGCTGGCTGAGGCACTGCATATATACAGTGATTCAGTGGATTCTTGTTGAGCACTAGTTTATGGGGAACTTATTCTAACAATGCAACAACTGATATTTCAATGCTGTGCATGAAATCTGGGTCAGATTGATAATGACCCCATTTTCCACTTTCCTTCTCCTATCTCCCCAAAATCCTGTGGGCCCTACCCACTGCCACTGCTTGAGTTTCACATGACATGGGCCCAGGTCTGATAATCAAATTACAAGGTTGGAAACAGATGATTCTTGTTGGGTTAACATGAATATCAGTATGGTGAAAACTAATCCAACTCTGACTAGTTTACACTTTCAAAACAATTAAATTATTTTTCCTTGTCTCATTCATATCATTAATCATTTTATTGTATTTTAGAAGAAAATATAAAAGGAAATAATGAGAAATGGGCATTCTTAAAATTAAAATCAAATTCTAATGTAAAATATTTTGTTTGGACCTTTAAAATTAAAATAATTGTGAACATAACTAATTTAGAGATCGAAATATTAATTTTAGATATAAATTATTTTTAAAATTTATTTATTTTATAAATATTTATTTTAATAAATATTTTTCAAATTAATTTTAAAATAAATAGTTAATTTAATTCATAAAAAATTGTTTGATCCAACTTAATTTCTAAAAAAAAATATTTTAATATAATTTTGATTCATTTAATTAACATTCGTTTATAAATTAGTTATATACTCATATTTTATTCCTTACAAATATTTTTTATATTTTAATCTTCATAGAAATATTTTTATATTTTTAATTCTTGTTGTTACAACACCATTAGCAACACGAATTAAAATGTAATAAAATACTATGAGGATTAAAATATAATTTTTTTTAAGTATATATACTAATTCGTAAATAAGTATCACCTAAAAAGATCATATGTATATTTTAACTAAAAAATAATTGATAGACTTGTTAAAAAAAATTAAAAGTGAGATACCAAATGAAAAAACCATAATTTTTTAAGAGATAAAAAAGATAAATATTTAAGTTAAAGAAAATTATTTATAATCTAAGATCACACTTTAATATATAAACACTACAAAAAAAAAAAAACACTAAAGAGCAATTTTATATCATTTTAGAAAGTGGTTTAAATTATTTTAACAAATATTGCTATCTAAAGTGGATGTACTTAGAAAGTGATTTATAATCATTCTTCAAGTATCAATTTAAAAATAATTTTTATAACAATTACTCTCTAAAGTATGAATCACAAATTTAAAATTTAATTTTTTTTCCTTCATAAGTTGTCTATTACAAATCAAAATTATTTTTATTAGTACATTTAAATTCAATTTTGTATGTCTGAAATTTAAAATTTATTTTTTTGTGAGTTTTTTTTTTATCATAAACTAAAACTAACTTTTTGTCTTACTAAAACTAAAATTTGTATGTTGTGTTAGGTAAATAGTCTACATAAATAAGAGAATGAGATCAAAGTAAGAGGAGGTTTCAATTTTAACAAAGAAAAATAGAAAGAAATAGAGAATGAAGAGAGAAACATGAGAAAGATACTTATAGTTTTGAATTAGAATAACTTTGTAAGCATAGAGAAAACAAAGAAGAAATGAAGAAGAGATTTATGATGTTGACGTGAATTGAGTAACAATTCATTCTTACATGTGTTTATAAGTTAAAAATTGTTAAAATTTCTCAAAATTTTAACTTGTGAAAATAGTTAATTATTAACTGTACTATAAAGTCATCTTTAATAAGCGGTAATATTATTTTTCTCTGCAAGTAGTCATTTCAAAAAATGTAAAATGGTATAGTGAGAACTCATAAAAAAATATTATGAAAGAATAAAATACCATAAAAGTTTATATACAACAGAAACTTTTTATTATGGTTGGAAAATAGTTAAATATGCCTAAATTTTTTTATAGATAAAAAATATAATTAATAAAAAAAGCATAATAAGAACTAATTAACAAAGTTTTGAATCAATACAATAAAAACAACTTACTTATATCATCCTTAAAAAAGTTTAAATTCACTTATATAATAAAATTCATCTTCTAAAGTTTTAAGCAATAATATAATTTTATATTCTATAAATAGCAATATATATATAGGAGGTATTTCAAGTGAGAAGAATTTGTATTATGAGAGATGAGAGGTATTAATAATGACGATTAAATCAAATAATTGACAAGAGAGAGAAAAGAATTAATTGACAAGAAAGAAAAAAACTGGTCATTATTAATACCTCTCACCTCTCATAATAACAAACTCTTCTTACTTGAAATATCTCATATATATGTATCGAAATAGTTACATATATAAATTATAACAAAAGTATTAATGTTAATATTTTATTTATTTATTTAAAGTAAAATAAAAGGTAAAAATATAATATTGTCACTTAATTAATTAAGTATATTTTAAAGATATAATAATATAAGTCTTTTATAAATAAAATTTGATATTCTTGTAAAATTATAGTTAATTGAAATACATATTTAGTCTCATCTTCATAATAGAAATTTATTTATAAATTAATCTATATATTTAAAAGAATTATATTTTAGTTTTTATATAAATATTTTATTATAAATGATATTATAATAGCAATAATTAAAATATAACAAAAATACTTAAATAAGGATAAAAATATAAAATTTATGTATATAAATTAATTCGTAAAAAAATATTAAAGACTAGATATAGATATATATATATATATATATATTAACAAAAGCATAATTATTAAATAGACTATATTTATAAATTTAAATGCTAAAATAATATTTTTAGAAGTTAGATTAAAGTTTCCAAGATATATTTTTGTTTACCGAACAAATTTGCTAAAAGTCAAATCTGGAGATCAGATTTATGAAGGAAAAAAAGTTGTACTGATTCGGGTTCCACCACCCATCCTCTAGCCCATGAATTTGCAAATGGTGTACCCTTTTAAGGTGCAGGCAGAATTGTAGGCTGCTGGGGTTGTGGGCACATTGTGGACACTGTGAAAGTAAGTTGTGTGGGAAGGGATGAGGCCAGAATGGAAAGGTACCCTTTTGTAGGGACTTTCACGGGCCATGCAAGTCTCTGAATGATTTCTTGTGGGGTTGCATTCCTTCACAGCCTTTCATTTATGGACCCATTTTTAAAGAGGTTTGCAAATTTTCAAGGTGACAGAAAGTGATGTCCTCACAGTTCCACCTTCAAGAAAGAAGGGGTGGGGTTGTTACTTTGTGTGTGGTTTGGCACTTTCCTTATGTTATGACGCCAAGCTATGTCGCCTACTTTGGATCCGGACAAGGTTGTTGCTTCTACTTTAGGAGATTACTCGCTATGACCCTTTACTATGCTTCCCATATTTTTTGGAATTTTTCATTCATTTTAACATCCATATTTATTACTAACATTTTTAGTAATAAATACTGAGAAGTTCAATGCTATTACCCTTTTCCTTATCATTTTTTAATTAATCTTTTATTATTAGTCAAAATTTATTAAAATTACAAAATTACTTATAAATTTTATAATTTTAAAAATTCTAATCAATAATGAATGTGATGCTGTCATTCTTTAAAATGATAAAATAATTAGAAAAACATACATATGCTTCCAATTGAAAATATAGATCTTATGCCTTTAAATAAAATCCGTGCCTGACACAGATATTACTGTCTTATTTTACAAATGAATAATGATAAGAATGGTTCCTTTCGGGTACCTTCTTGTCTTGAAATTTAATTTCGAAAAGGATAGAAAATACTTCTTTTAAAAATCGAATTATTTTCGAAATAATTTTTAATTACTTTTAGAATTTGTTTTTGAAAGGAAAAAGTAGGCTTAAGAATGTAAAAAGAAAAATTATGGCTACTAAAAGAAATTTTCTAATGTTATCTATAGAGTGTGGTTAAATTCTGTCAATGAGTCGAAGTTACTGAATCATCTATCCAATTCTATTTATTTATCACTAAAGATTTTATAAGAAATGTAAAAGTTATCTAATAATATTTTATTATGTGATAATACTCGGTGCATTTATCTAATTATTCTTTATTACGTGCTTGGTTAGGCTAGACTTAGTTAAGTTAGGCTTTGATTAAATAGGTTTGGTCTACTTAAAAATTTTAAAATCTAAACCATGCTAAACTATAAGTTAAGAGTGATTACACATGAAGAATTTTGCATTATATAAAATTTCAAGGGAATTGATGTATCAAGTGGACTACAAAATTGAAAAACTCCTAATCATTCGACCATGAAAATAGAAAAAAATAATTAC